ACCAGAGGCTTCGCTGATCAGGTGGCTAAGGCGAACGCGGAGCGAGCGCATCAACAGCATCGCCATGCTGAAGCCGAGCAGGAGTTCGCTGCTGAGCTGGCAGAAGTCAGGAGGGTCGCCCGTGAGCAGGCACTCCGCCACAACGCCGAGCAGGCGAAGCTCAGGCTGGCCCTGAAAGAGGAGTCAGAGCAGCTGCAGCGCACCACCGAAGCGGAGAACGTAGCGCAGCAGCTGCAGCAGCAGCAACACAAGGCTCTCCGCCACGAGATCAAGAAGCAGCAATCTGAGCAGCTTGAGTTCGCGACGCAGATGGAGGCCAGGTTGATCAGCCATGATGCAGCATACAGCCAAGTCAAGTCTGAGGCCGAGGCGGCGACCCAACGTGCAAATCACCTGCGAGAGCAGCTCGAGAGCGCCCGTGCGGAGCACCGCGCCCAGCCACAGCCCCAGGATAGGGTCTACCAAGACCTACTGCGGGCACGCGCCGAGGCGCAGGAGGCATGGCGGCAGGCCCAGCACGAGAACGCCAAAGCGACAGCTGCAGCTGGCACCCTCAGGCAGCAGCTCATCAGGCAGGAGGTGGTCATAGAGGAGAAGCTACAGGAGGTCAAAAAGGACCACGCGCTTGAGCTCGAAGCAGCCACTGAGTCAGCCAGGGCCCAGGCAATCGCCCAGGCCCAGGTGGTCGCCAACGCCAAGGGAAAAAGGAGCCCTGCCGCCGGCAGAGGCGGCCAGGCTGCAAGGGATCATCCAGACAGCAGCACGGCAGCAGGGTCGGCTCAAGCAGACCATAAGCGAGCTCAAGGCAGCTGAGGCCCGCATCCACGAGCTCCAGCAGTATTCCAAGCTTGAGGCGGGCGCGGCACAGCGTGCAGTCCAGGTCGCCTACCACGAAGCAGCGGAGCTGAGGAGCGCCAACGAGGAGCGGCAGATTCCGCACGAGGTGCAGGCACTGCAGTTCGCCCTGCTAAGGACCAGAGCAGAGGAGGAGGAGATAGCGAAGGCCAGTCTGAAGGATAAGGAGGCAATGCGGGCGGAGCTTGAAGGCAGTGCTGAGCAAATGCGGTCGCATCTCACCCGCCAAGTCATGATAGAAGAAGCGAATGCACATGACTTGCAGCTGCATACAGAGAGCCTGCGACAGGAGCTGAGCAGCTACGCGGTGCAGCTGAGCGAGCAGAGGTCCAACGCGGAGGTGCAGGAGCAGGCGCTGGAGGAGGAGCTCGCCCAGGCCCTCACCTTCAGGATCGCCAGCATGGAGGAGGCCTCCGCCATGGAAGACTTCGCCAGCCAGCAGAGGACTGGCAGGGAGGAGGCCATTCACCTCGCGCTGCAAGAAAGCCTCCAGCGCTCCCGCACGCTGCACACCGAGCTCGACGCCATCGCAAAAAAAGAGAAGCATGGCGCGTCCGAGACAGAGGAGTTAAAGCTAAGACTGCAGAGCCTGGAAGCCATCGCAGCCAGCAGAGAACGCGAACGCAAAGCTATGGTCGACCTGTACGCCGAGATGAGGCAATACGGCCAGGAGGGCTACGACTTCGCGAAGAGGGCAGCTCATCACCTCGTCCAAGGGGGCCACCTCCCAACATCCCAAGAGTCCATGGATGACTACCAGGAGGCCGCCGACCTGTACGAGAAGGCTAGAGGCACAGCCGAGGCAGCTCCCGCCCCAGCGGTGCCGCCCGCTGCGACCCTCCTCCCAACTGGTGCAGCTGAGGAGCGCCCAGCCAACAGGGGCCGGTGGCAGGACAGCTCCTCGCCTCGGAGGCCCGCATCAGTCAGGTCAGCCAGATCAGCAGCCCGCCAGTCCGATGAAGGCGCTGTATCACACAGAGAGCGTGATAGGTCCAGGAGCCCCGACAGGCCCGACCCGCATGAGGAGGCAGATAGGTACGAGCGTGAACAAGAGGTCTCCGGTAAGCAAGACGAGGAGGCGAAAGCGCAATGGGAAGCCGTACAGATGGAGGAGGAGCTGGAGTCAGTAGCGAGGGATCACGAGGCGGGGGAGATCCAAAGGCGCTAATATGAGGAGGCCCCAATGACCCAGTTCGGCCCTGGTGGTTCACAAGACTCCCAAGTGGCTGACGACTGCTCGGAGCACGCGCCGATGATCTACCCCACCAGCTGGCCGCCCTGGAGCCAGGACCACCCCGCACCCGAGGGGGGTGAGGAGATGCGGGGAGCCACGCAGCACGAGGCAGACACGGACCTGGCATCCACCTCAAGGGCTAGCTCGGTACCAGCAGAGCAAGGCGACCCTCCCACTCCGACAGCATCCCAGGTGATCTTCATCCCAGCTTCGCCAGCGCCTCTGAGTGAGAGGTCCCTCACGCCCACAGTACCCATCGGGCGTGATGAGCAGCGCGGCCAAGGCGGTGGAGAGGGAGCCGACAGCTTCGCACTGACCCCTCCCCCTGCATCCCAGCAGAGCGCGGAGGCGGCAGCAGCCAGCATCGAGAGGCAGTACGAGGGCATCGACATCCTTACGCGCCAGCACACCTCAGCCGCCGCCGCAGCTGCAGCCCTTGAGGAGGCCTTTGGACCCGCGCCCACATTTCCAGAAGAAGACATCAGCCAGGCCCACAAGGGTCAGCGGGTAGACTCGGGAGAGACAGGCATAGCACGTTTTCGTGGCCGAGTGGCCCGCAGGAAGGACGAGGCAAGGGGCACAGCAACCCCCTCCCCTCCTGCAGCTCCTGGAGCCGAGGAGTAGGCAGCAGCAGTGCCCACCGAACCCCGCCGAGGGGGTGATGGGGGCCTAGCAGCGCCGCCAGGCACCAGGACATGCATGACAGAATTCACGGCCAGGAGGCGGCCGATGAGTCCGACAGGGCAGAGCACGACGGATGCGGGCTTCCTTCACGCTCTCCGATCAGTTTGACAGCATCGATCTCCTGCGCAGCATTGGGGAGAGCAGCTGGGGCCCAAGGGCTACAGTACGGCAGTGGGGTCCTCCACTACGATGCTCAACCTACCAACCATCAGAGGCCTGAAAGCACGGCGGGCCCTGGGGCAATGTGTGACAGCCGTCTAGTAAGACATAGACCAGCAGAGATTGCGACAGTTTCACCTACCAGAGCAGCGACTCCCAGGAGTCCAGGGCCCCGAGGGGCCACGACTCCAACTAGGGGCGCTACCGCAGCTGGCGTTGGCAGTGGGAGGACCACTCCCAAACGCAGCAGCCAGCAACATGAGCGCTCCCAGTCACTAGGGTCTCGAGGGGCCAACGTGACACCGCCACGGCCGACACGAGGGCCGCCCGCCGCGTCTCGAGGGGCGCCAGGCGGCATCGAAGGAGGCACACGACCAGGGAGGAGTGATGCACCCGTCAGTCAGTCAGCACTCCAGGTGACAAGCCACCGAGATGGCTGCAAGGATGCGTTACCGGCTGCCCTTGCACAAAGGACGCCTCCCTCCGCCATCCGAGTCCACGAGATTGAGGATGCTGACAGGACCTTTCTCGATGGCCAAAGCTCGAGTGGCAGTGAGGCCGAGGTTGGCACGGAGCAACAGTATGAGCAGTGGAAGCAAGCGCGAGCAGTTGCAGCCTTCCGATCAGCCCATCGGCGAGCACGCCGTGCACGGCGCGCTGCCGAGAGCCACAGTGGTCGGGACGACAGCAGCACTCATAACCAGTACCGAGCCCTGGTGATGGATCATGGGCACAGCGCCCACACCCGATCCAGCCACGCCAGCGACCAGCAGCAATCAAGTGGACAAGAAGGCAGCCCAACCTGGCGGGCGTGCACGGGGCCCCCTCACACTGCAAGGCCGCTGACGGGAGGGTCTGCCCCCCACAGGATCGAGCAGATGCGGGGCCGTTCCCCCTTGCAGGTGCGAAGGCCTGGCAGCAAGCCTCCGTCGGGAGGGTGGTCGACGCCTTGCTCCCAGGCCAGGGGCGACGTCCAAGGGTGCCCGAGGCAGGACCTCAACGGCAGCTGCACTGCTCAGAGCACAGGGTGGAGACCAACGCCTCGGCCACCACCAAGCAGCAGCACACGCAGCATCCCACCTACGGCCACAGCACTGCCTGACGAAGAAGCCAATCTTGCCCCAACCAACACCCATACGCTGGACCAACGTACCAAGCCCCAACACCCACCAACTGAGCAACCGAAAGACATAGCCGAGCCCGAGCAGCACACAGTGCCTACCAGGGCCTGCCCAAGCTGGCGCGCTAGCGCGGGGTCGCCTCACACTGTAAGGCCGCCGACGGGCGGACCTGCTCCCCAGAGGGTAGAGCAGCTGCGGGATCAATCCCCCTTACAGGTGCGTAGGCGCGAGGGCATGCCTCCGACGGGAGGGTGGTCGAAGCCGTGCCCTCGCGCCAGCGATGTCGTGTTGGGGTGTCCAACCAGGTCCAGCGACTTCCAAGCGGATCCAGTATCACCAGCGGCTCCAGCCCGGACGAACCCACCCAGCTCACCTCGACCAGTCAGGTGGAAGCCAACGCTCCCCTCGGCATCAGCTGGCTCCCACCACGGCATGGGCGCCACTGACCACCCCGACGCCCCGGCTGGCAAACCTCATCGTCTACGTGACAGCATGCTCCATGCCCAATCACACGAGCTCCTGTTCAGTCAGGCCGTGCGGGCTGGATCGGACAATTTGAACTTCGATGAGGGGAGCCATCAACCGCCAGCACTACCTTTGGAGCGGAGTGCGCCTCAGGCTGGGGTCTCACCTCTCGCCCCGACTACCCACTCCGCGCCATCACAGCTACCTCCAGCCCGTGCTACCAGCACACCAAGCCCCACCCTACATGGCACGGGATCAGTGGCAGACGACGACGTCGAGTACTCCCCCGAGTACGTCAGTGCTGAGAGAGCCAGGCGCGGCCGAACGCAACGGCAGCCCTCCGCTACGGCAGCACCAGACAGAGGCCAACCTGCAGTGCTACCAGTTCTCAGCCAAGACTCAGTAGCAGAGACCCTGCGAGGCCGAGGCCGCGTCAATGTCTGCGCCGACGTCGACGCCACGACCCTCCACAACACGGCAAGGCTAGCGCTGGAGATGTGCCCATCACGTGAGCTGCCGACCAAGCGCACACACATCTACACGGACGGCAGCTACAACGGCATCCCACATACAGCAGCCTGGGCAGTAATCATTGTCGACGAGTACGACGACGGGCGTAGCTCACGAGGCCCGTTCGGCTTTCGGGGTTTCATTGCTGGCAAGGTCACCGAGTCTCTACACGACATAGCTAACAACGAGAAGGTGACGGCATATACGGCTGAGCTCACGGCAGTGCTGTGGGCACTTATGTGGGCCCTTGGTCAAGACACCACCGCCCCCATCGAGATCACGCCTGACGCTCTCAACGTTATCAACCTGGCCAAAGGGGAAGCCCAATGCCACGTACATACACGGCTGGGGGCCGCCATTCGCTCGCTTGCTGGCCTCCTCCAAGAAGCTCGACCTACTCAGTGGCATCATATTAATTCGCAGATTGGCCACCCTTGGAACGAGCTTGCAGACGGGGTAGCAGATCAAGCTTCGGCCACCGACCTGATGGGCCCGAACACTGCAGCAGCGCAGGCGATCGCGCACAACAAGTTCCTTTCCTGGGAATGGTTACGCTCAGCGCCCGATGCAGTCAAGGCCGCCTACCCTCCCATGCGGAACCAAGCCTTTATCATTGGAGCCACTCAGCCCCAGGCAGCCCCCTGTGCGATCCAGCGGCCCATCAGCACGACTACCATCAAGGCCGACCTCAGCTTGAATATGTGCACCTACAATTGCAGATCACTTAAAGCCGCCGTCAACTTCAAGTCGGGCAAAGGCAAGGCGGCCAGCAAAAGCAAGCAGAGCATCTCCAAGGTTACGCACCTAGCGGCACAGTTTTCTGATATGGGCCTACACGTGGTGGCCCTCCAGGAGACGCAGAGCGACGGAGACGTCCGCAACGTTGGAGAATATGTTTGCTACTCCTCAGGCCACGCGCAGCAGAACAGAGGATGCGACGTTTGGCTCAACGTCTCCCAGCCGATCAGCGTGGGTGGGGTCGCGAGGTACCTAAGTGTCAAAGATACCCTGGTCCTCCACCAGCACGACAGGCCTTTGATCATCAAGACCCGCGTGGCAGGCACGGACATGGTCATCGCCTCCGCGTATGCCCCCCACGAAGACTCCCAGGCGGCTGAGAAGACAGAGTTCTGGGAGTCTGCCCAGCGACTGTCTGCCAAGTACCACGTGGACATCTTCATGGGGGACCTGAACGGGCGCCTCGGCGACTACGAGTCCCCAGGAGTTGGCACCAGTGGGTACCCAGAACCGACCAATGGCAATGGCAAGCACATCATTAGCTTCGCAGCCGACACCGACATGGAGGTCATCAACACCACGAAGGATCCAGGAAACAAGTCGTATACGCATATTGGATCTAAGGGGCAGTACCACAGGATCGACTACATCCTGCTGAGCTCCTATCGCCCCGTACGTTGCGAGCTGCAGCACGGAGCCAGGTCTTGACCGAGGCACCGCTGCACAAGACCACATACCAGTACTCGCCACCCTCAAGTGGGCCGTCTGCAAGACCACCAAGGCCTCAGGGCCGCGGCCCGATCTGACCAACCTAAACAACGATGACGCCAAGGCCAGCTTTAAAGAGATTCTCCAGCAGGCCCCGATCATCTCCTGGGAGGTGGACGTCAACACCCATTGCGAGGAGGCCACCAGAGTCGTCAACAACGCGGCCATCCAGGCCTTCGGCAAGGCCGTCAAGGCAGCGAGGAAGCCCTACGTCACCAAGACCACCATGGGCCTAATCCGAGCCAGGCGCCTCACACTAAGAGTCCATCGTGCAGTGCTCAGAGAGAAGCCCATGACGACCGACCTGGGCGATTAGTAGCCCACGCCCACTCCCTTCTTGGAGGCGAGGTCGGGGCCTCATTGGCCCTGTGGAGGACAGAGCGTGGCGACGACGATGGCACCATCCTCAACATCCACTACTATGCGCACCTCCTCCTGAACTGGACGATCTCGCCCATGGTCTACGCCATGGCCATCCACTCCTTCCTCACCAGGTCTGGGCTGCTCATTGCCTCGGCCGTCGAGAAGGACCGTAGCGCCTTCCTCAGCCGGCTAGGCTCAACTGCGTCCTCCGCCTCTGCGGCGAACGACGCGGCGGCTCAGTGGAAGGCCTACCGTGACCTATTAAGGTACGGCGGGAGGAAGGCGCGGTTTCAAGCAGGAAAGCCGATGAGGCTCGACAAGGATGGAGAGGTGGTCCATAACTCCCAGGACATGGCGGACCAGGAGCTCAACCATTCGCCAAGATACAGGCAGGCAAGATCGTGTCAGCGGACGACCTTGCCCACAAGTACAACCAGGACAGCAAGACCAGGCCCTTCGACGGAACGCTGGATCTCTCCATGGTGATGCCCCTGTCCGTCTGCCAGGCCCAGTTCGCCGCGGCCAAGGCTGGGGCGCAAGGAGGCCCTGACGGGCTCACGAACGCCGTCCTCAGGACGGCTCTTGCAGAGGCAGCCACGCTACTGCACCCCCTCTTCACCAAGGTGGCGACCACGGTGCGGGAGCCGCTGAGCTTCAAGGGCGGGGATCTGGTCGCCATCCCCAAAGGCAAGGGCGACCCCCGATACCTCCTAGCTTATCGCGAGATCCTCTTAAACAACGTCCTGGGCAAGCGCCACCATAAATACTTGAGGGCCATGCTCAACACCACCCTCGCCATAGCGCTGGAGGACATCCAGGTTGGCGGCCAGCCAAAGCGAGGGGCTGACATGGCGGTCCTAGCAGCGCGCCTCTTCACCGAGAGAAGCCAGGCCCAAGGGAAGTGTTTCATGATCAGCTGCTACGACCTAAAGGAGGCTTTCTACTCGGTTGTCGTCCAGCTGGTCCACGGCATCCCAGGCGAAGAGGACGAAGTCAGGGAGGTGCTAGACAACCTGGAAGTTCCTATGGGCCCAGCCGCAGCTGGAGCACCTCATGGCCAACCCAGGGATACTCGACACAGTGTTGGATGGCTCCCACCTGGCTGCCCTCATTGCCGAAGGGTATCGCAACAGGTGGACATCGCACAGGTTCTCCCAGAGCTTCATGGCGCCGCACAAGGGAACGAGGCCTGGTGTGCCCCTCGCCGACGCGGACTTCAATCTGCTCTTCGGCCGAGTCCACCGCATGATCGACAGCTACCTGGCACAGCGAGGGCTAAGGGCCCAGGGCAGACCCCTGGAGAGTAGCTTCGCATGCGCCACCGACCCAACAGACGGACCACTCCAGGAGCACGAACCCCACGGCCTATCGTTCGTCGATGACCTCACGGGCATGCACGTGTTCACCAGCCCCGACCACATTCAGACCGAGGCCACGGGGTTCTGCGAGGCCGTCTACTGCGCCACCAGCACCTTCGGCCTCCAGCTGCAGCTCACCAAGACCAAGGTGATTATCGACTTCAGTGGGCCTGGAAGCCGGCAAGCTCGGGCCAACTTCTATCCCAATGGAGTGCCAAGGATCGAGGTCCCCCTCGCGGAGAGCTACGTCGAGGTAGTCCGCCACCACAAGCTCCTCGGGACCTACGTAGCCGACAACGCATCTCCTGGGGTGGATGTCGCAGTGAAAGTAGCTACCGCTGCGACATCCACGCGGCCTCTCCATCGTGAAGTCCATCGTCGTTCAGAGCTGGCCGTCAAAGACAAGGCCTACCTAGCCGACAGTGTGTTATCCCAGCTGCTATACAACGCGTCCACCTGACCCGAACTCACAGCAGGCCAGGCCAGGAACTTCAACAACCAGTACATCGTGAACTACGCTGCCGCACAGAGGATTACATGGAAAGTGCGACAGAAGAAGGAGGTCGCGAACACCCAGATCCTCGAAGGAGTCGATAAGCTGCCCCCCGAGATCGTCCTACGCCTCGAGCGACTTCGGCTATTCGGTTGATGCCTCAACTGGGGTCCCTTACACCTCCGCCGATTACTCAGCCAAGCATGGGACGGGAGTTATGGCTGGGTAGCATTGCTCCGCCGCGACTTAGACTGGGTCCGCGACCACACAGGACTGGACGAGCGTGGTGGAGCATACACACTCGACGACTGGAAGGACTGGGCCAGGAACGACTACAAAAGCTACCTCAGCGCAGTCAAGAAAGCTTGCCAACGCGGCAAAGCCCGCCAGTACGATGGCGACCACCACGCCCGATGGCGGCTACGACTCCAGCGTTGGACCAACACGGAAGCCATCTCGCCCTTCCCAGACCAGCACTTCGAGCAGCAGCGCAAGTACCTCTGCTACCACTGCGGACGTACAGAGCTCAGTGCAGCAGTATTACGAGCCCACATCACCAAGGACCACACCTCGTCGGGGCATCCCATCTCGTGGGCAACGGGCTCGGTCTGCTACGGATGCGGCATGGACTACCACACCACGAACAGACTGGTCAAGCACTTGCTGCGTGTGCGCAGGTGCGCTCGACACTGGCGAAGAACACGTCCAGCGCTTCTCAGCAAATCCGAGCTGCAGCACAACCAGCAAGTGGTGCGGGGCCAACAGCAGGCGAATAGAAGGGCTGGCAGGCCCATCGACTGGGCAAAGAAGCCTGCAGTCCCTGCTCGTCCTCCCGAGATACACACGGACGAGGACAGCGACGACAGCAATAGCGGCCACTACCAGGACCTCGAGCTCCCCTTCATCGAGGAACCGCCGCCGCCGCCAGCTACTATACCCAGGCCCAGGCCAGCTCGGACACTATACGTGCTGCATCTGTTCAGCGGTCGTCGCCGAGAGGGAGACGTTCAGGATTGGTTCGATCGCGTAAGCAGTCGGGCCTCATGCGACATACACATGCTCAGTCTGGACGTGGCCAACGACCCGACCTTCGGCGACCTGACATCAGAAGTTGCAGTCAACAAGTGGCGAAGCATGGCACAGGCAGGAAGGCTTGCAGGAGTCATCGGCGGACCACCGTGCGAGACTTGGAGCCGAGCGCGTCACCTGCCCCCCAACGCCTGCAGGGGTCGCCCACCAAGACCCGTGAGGAGCAGCAACAGCTTGTGGGGCCTCCGCTACCTCCCCCGACCAGAGATGGAACAAGTAGCGACAGGCAATCGCCTATACAGGACACAGCTGGGAGCTCATGTACATGTGCCTCAACCTTGGCGTCCCAGGCATGCTCGAGCACCCGTGCGAGCCCACCGAGGAGCATTTCGCCAGCTCCTGGAGGCCCCCCGAGACGCGCCACCTCCTGGGCCAGCAGGGAGTCGAGCTGATCACCTCCGACCAGTGCACCTGCGGGGCGCGTTCGAGGAAGTCCACAAGCCTGCTGGCGGTATCCCTCCCAACTCTCCGCTCGGAGATAAGTAGGCTGCCTGGAGGCGGGAGGTGCTGCCACACGGCCAACTACCACGCGGAGCTGGCGGGCATCAACGACGACGGCCAGTGGCGCACCGCGGCGGCCAAGGAGTACCCGAACAGGTTGTGCCAGGCCATCGCGACGGCGCTGATGAAGCAGATAAGATGGCGCTTTGGCGAGACGCCTAGCGACGCCAACGGATGGCACATCGACGACGACGTGGCCCACTTTTTCCAGCCGCTCGACTACTACAAGACCAGGGAGATGGGCCAGGACTACCACCGTGGCCCAGCGAGGCGAGGAAGCGCCCCGACCTGGTTGGAGGAGGCGAGGGAGTGGGCCCTGCAGGACCGACCCGACAAGGCTATGGGCAGGACCACCAACTCGATGAGTGTTGATCGAGCACAGTTTGACGATGATGAACGTGATGAAGAGCCTTGACGACAAGTACAAAAGAGTCAGGACGCAAGTCCTGAGGAAGCCCCGAGTGCGAGGGAACACCTCGGGCAACGTCGCCAAGTTTTGCACGAGTTGCCAGGACGCAAGTCCTGGGGAAGCCCCGAATGCGCGGGAACAGCCCAGGCACAAGTCGCCACGTTTTGCAGCAGTGATGCACATAGCAGCAGTACAGCCAGGGCTCAGAGGTACCAGCCAGACGACATGCCCACTACACCATGCACAAGTCAACGCTGCCCTGGTGAGGCAAGGATCAAACTTCGAGACGGGCTCGAAGGGTGGGGGGCAGGACGAGTACTGCCCGCGCCCACCAGGGGGGATGGTGAGGGGCAGGGGGGGGTAGGACGCAACGACCCGCGCCCCCGCGGTCCGCCCTAGCTCGCCACCCCCACCATTCCCACGGCGGAGACGGAGCTCCCGAGCGCCCAACGGGCGAAGCATAGGGCAGCCGAGACATTCCTCATCGACAACAGAAGAATCACTGGGCCTGGGGTTCGCCCCCACCGAGGGCACCGTGACCCCTAGCCATAGCGGGACGAGGTGGGGCCGCCAAGAACCCCACTTGAAGTCGGTGCATGGAGGCCCTGAGTGCGCCCACAACCTATTCCACATCACCAGCAACAAGCCGACCTCCCAACGACCCGCAACCAGCACGACAAGTACCTCAGCGGCTGAGTCGAGCACTAGGAATTCGAGCGCCACACAGTCAAGCAGTACCACTCGACCAGCGCGACCGAGCCCAGTACCAAGAGCTTACCATCACAGAGTCAAACGTACCACTTGATCAGCACTACCGAGTTGAATGGAGAAGGTTCGAGCATCACCGAGCCAAGTACTACCACTCCGACCAGCACGACGGTGTCGAGCACCACAGGTTCGAGGGCCAGCTAGTAAGCCACTGCTTCAACCAGCATGACTGGCCCGAGCACCACAAGTTTGGCATCACAGTCACAAACAGTATCGCGATGACCAGCACGACCGAGTCGAGAACCACAGCTCGCGCACTACAGAGTCACGCCATACCAGAATGACTAGTGTGACTGAGTCGAGGGCCACAAGGTTGGGCACTGCAGAGTCAACCAGAGTTATATCGACCAGCACGACTGAGTCGAGTACCGCAAGATCGAGGACAACATAATCAGGCTGTACCTCAAGATCGAGGACTACCGACGTGGCCCAACGAGGCGGAGGAGCGCCCCGACTTCGCTGCACGAGGCGAGGGAGTGGGCCGGACAAGACCGTCCTCGACAAGGCCCCGTGCAGGACCACCAGAACGACGAGTTCTGAGAGGGCGCGGCTCTCGAGGCTCGGCGAGCTCGCAGCCGACGGCGCCTGAGGGGGCCGCGACATCGGGGTCCCTAGGGACCATAATTTGGTGCCTCCCCCTCTTACCCCCAGCTCTCTGCATATTCCAGGGCCTGACCCAGGGGTTCATCGTCGTTGGCCTTCTGGCTCTGGAGGGGTTAGGGGGAGGCACACCAGGTGGGCCTTCTGCCCACCTGGTCCCAGCGCCTGTGCGCTGCCGCCCAGCAAGGATAGGCTGCTGGACAGGGGCGGCTATCCTGGGCGGCAGCGCGACGGGCCACAGACCAATTCGGCATTTCGAGGTGGTCCGAGGCTTTCTCCCCCTTCCTTGCCCAGTGGGGCCCTTCCCCCCCTTTCTCTCGGAGGCCTTCGGACTGCCGCCTTGGCCCTTGGACCCCGCCCCTCTCCTCCCCAGGCCCAGGTAGGCTCCCCTCTGCTCCTCCTGGCGGGGTCCTCTCGCGCCTCTGCTCGTAGAGTCGCCTGGGCCTTGCCCCCCGATCCTCCGCCGCCCCGCGCGCTTGGGCGGGACGGGCCTACCTCCTCCCTCCTCTGGCGGCGGCCTCGGCCGCCGAGTGGCGTTGCAGGACACAGACCTTCATGGCGCGGCAGCGGAAACAGCGGAGGAGGAGCAACAGGAGGAGGAGAAGGAGGGGAAAAGGAGGAAACAACGGGGCCCGCCCCGCCCCGCCGCCGCCCCGCGCCAGCGGCCCCGCGCCGGCGGGCCTCTGCGCGCCCATCCCGCGGGCGCGCCCCCGGGCAATGTCGCACAGGCGCGCCTCGCCGCCGACGGCCGCGCCCGCGCCGACGACCGACGCCGTCGGGGGCAGCGTCGGCGGGAGACTGGCTCAGAGGGAGGAGGAGGAGGAGGACGAGGAGGACGAGGAGGACGAGGAGGACGAGGAGGACG